TGTATCCACAATGTTATTTTTGTATGAATATAATTTACCTACTTTTTGATTTTATATGAAACTAATTTACCTACTGTGACAATAATGTATCTACAATACTACATAAAAGATTTACCTTTTTTAACAACACTAGTGTATCTACAATTTTGTTTTCGTATGAATATAATTTACCTACAATTTAACTTTTCAAAAAATGTATCTTCTATTTTATGTTTTACTATCATATGTATGTTTATGTGTTCGCAAAATAATTTATCTAAAGTTATATAGTTAAGAGATATTGTAATGCATTATATTAATCCATTATTAGATTGGTAAAAGAAATTGTTAAAAACGTTAGCCATAATGGTTGGCTAATAATGTTTGTATGAGAACAGTTATAGAAAGTTGTGGCATAAATTGTAAATAACTTATATTAATAGGTTACTTGTTTTCTTATGTGGCAATTTATTTAAATTTTGGGTTTTTACTAGATGTTGATTCATAGGTGGGTTTTTATCCGAAATATATGAGTTGTATGGGCTTATATCTAAACAACCCATTATAATACTAAGTATCTTTTGATTATCAACGATTGGTCACCTATTCTTTTATTCTTGAGTCTTGTTACCAAATAAAACGGTGATTAACCATAAATATTTAATTATCAAGTGACCAAAAGAACGAGCATGATGCATTATAATACCAAGTACAATTTTTCTTCCAACTTTGTGCTTCAGAGAAGGGCGGGGTGGGGTGTTGGGTGTGCGTTTGTTACAAGAGCATGCCTTTACCTGATTAATGAGTATATAGCATACAATCATGCTCCTGCCTGCAGAGGAATCTTCCGTCTTTAACACTGTTGAGCACAGTTACAAACAGTAATAAACAAAGGATAAAACGAAGGTGGCAGCAGTGAAAAAACAAAAGAGCATAAGGTTTAAAAATGCAAAGAAGAAAGAAGAAAAAGTCACAGAAACCAACATATGGATCATCAACTACATTCAGAGACCTTGTCTCTCTCTTTCTTGATGACTAATCATTGTTGTTTCCATGAGAAATGCTAAAGAGATTATCTTAAGGTAAAGCTTTTCATGGATTCTCCTGTTACTAGGGATGGGCACGGTTTGGTTTGATGCGGTTTTAAGTGAAACCGAAAATTTTTGCGGTTCGGTGCAGTTTTGGAGCCAAAACCGAAATGAAACCAAACCGTTTGATTTAGTTCGGTGGGTTTCAAATGGTTATGGTTTGGTTTCAAACCATTTACATACAAAATGCAACACTATTAGTAAATACACAGTTTAAAACCTTATTTCAAACATTGTTAATTAAACATTTCCTGGATGTAAACTATCAAATATTCACATTCACAATTGAGCAGTTTCAAAGAATCAAAGGAAGAAGTAGAAGAGGAAATTTAAAATCACGATTTCAACAAGCAAAGCTATTTCTAGGTGTGTACAAGTGCAGCAAATGTAGAAACACTGCTGTAGGTTTACAGCAAGAAACGTAGAAAACTAATGCAGAGATATTTGTGGAAGTGACAATCTTTCATTCCTTCATTTGTTGTATATATAGATGCATGTCTATCAACTATACAAAGAGTCGTAACGGGATTATAAAACACCCATCATAATCTGATAATTACAACATAAGTGAGTAAATCAAATATGTAACAACCTAAGATAAGGTTGTTAAGTACTACGCTAACAAGGTGAATAGTAATTGCTGCTTCAGCTTTGGCAATGAGAATTACATTGCTCCCCATTCTTATGTGGCAAATTAAGTTGATAGGGATTGTGCAGTTACTTCCGAAATGTAAGTTTTAAACTTCGACTTGATCACTTCATTGGACTGTTTTGTAGCTTTACTCAGATCGAATGCTAATGTTTGGTTTAACCAGAAACAATATTCGTCTCGTCTGGATATTTAATAAAATGTCTTTTAATATTTGTGGTGTTGTTCGGTTTCAGTGCGGTTTTCAAAAGTCAAAACTGAAACCAAACTGTTTTCTTACACTGCGGTTTGGTTTCAAACCGAAACCATTTCAAAACCGCAAAACCAAACCGTTCGGTGCGGTTTGATTTGGTTCGTGTTTCGGTTTTCGGTTCCAAGTGCCCACCCCTACCCACCACCTTATGTTTTTGGCATAATTCCCATACCAACATTATAAAATATTGTGCCAAAAACATGAGGTAACGGAGAGTTCCGCTTTTGAAATAGTCACCTTAGCATTTTCCTATTTGCATACGTGGACATAGCCACATTAGTTAGAGCAAATGTGTTCTTCTTTATATATGAGTTTGAATTATTATTTTTTCCATTTAGATTAGTTTAAAGTAAAAGATTACTTGTACCGAATGTTAAAAAATATAAAGTTATTGTTACTCTTGTTAGTTCCTTTCAAATCACAAAGGGTTTTGTCCAAGCTGTCATAAATATGTTATTTTGGCTAAGTTTATATGAAATATACACAAATGGACCGTTTTCAAACTTTTAACAGAAAGGGGAATGTAAAGTACACTAAATTGACCCTAATTTATATAGGATTCGTTGTCGGTTTAATATTTATCTTGTTCTATTCTCGATTGAAAGTTTGTAATCGGTTGTATTTGTATGTTTTACTCAAGTTTAAATGACTCCACCCAATTCCATCAGAGTATGAATCAAAATTGCAAATGAGTGAATTATTCTCTTCAGCACAAAGGAGATGGACCATGGAATAAAACCCATAATTGTGCCTAAATCCATTATGGTATCAGCATCTTTGCTTCATTTGAGAGGCCTTTACTACCCCATTACAAGAAGGGGTGGTGAGGAATGATGTCTCGACTAGGGGTGATTTGGTTCGGATCAGATCGGAAACAAACATTTCAGTGCCAATTCAAATATAGAATCAAATATTAGTTTCATTTCAGAATTTTAGATTATCAGAAGTTATCAGAAATTTTGGAATCGGTTTTATATTGGAATTTTCGAACATAATTTGGAAATTCTACAGTTTTCAAGACTTTGAAAAAAATTCAAACTTTTATGTATCCACCATTCAATTTTTTTATTTTTTTATTTTTGTTATATTTGTAGCCGTTAAATGTATGTATGATATAAAATCATATTAGACAAGATAATAATAATAATACATTTTATTATACTCTTCATTTGTAATATATGATAGTATGATTAAATATACAAAATACTAAATAAAGCATAACATGATAAAATAAGAATATGCATCATTTTTTTATAATACTAAGTTTGAGAAATTTTGGATCAGAATTTTGAAATTCTCAGATCGATAGATACACCATACAAATTTTTCGGAAATGTTCGGACTCTGGATGGAAATTTTTGGTACGGATTGGAATGTCCAATCCAACATGCAACCCGTAACAGTTATGGCAACAAAAATCAACATTTGACCTACCCTACCAAATAATCTTTCAGCCAAATAAATAGCACCTATTCCCCCAGCAAATATGGACGGTGAGGTGCTTCAATAGAATCAAATACTCTCCAAGTGCATTAATGAATTCACCCAAAGAAACATACAATTAAAGAAATTGTTATTAACACTTCAAAATTTTCATTATACATTCCAAACTTTCTATATTAAGAAAGAAAAATATGCTTGTGAGAAGTGTAAAATGATTTTTGGAGTACCAGTAACACTTCCCTATAATTAATAGAAAATTTCATTCTAATCCTTGGCAAAGATGACTTGACTAAAACCATGAGTAAGATCAAAATATAATTTTAGTCCCTTGGTACATTACATTTTGATTTTTAATTGGGAAGTGTTATTGGCACTAAAAAAATCTCATTCTACACCCCTCACAAGTGTATTTTTCTTTCTTAATATAGAAAGTTTGGAGCGTAGAATGAGATTTTTGGAGTGCTAATAACAATTCCCTTTTAATTATTTCTCTTTTTCTTCATAATTTTAATGTATTAATTTTATTTCATTTTCATTTTCATTTTCATTTTCATTTTATTTATCTTAGTATATTTTGTTGTAAACATTTAAATAAACTAATTTTTGTTATACACTAAATTTCGATGCACTTTGTCTTCTTTATTTAAGTACATTAAATTCTTTATAATACATTTCAGTGCATATATTTAGATACACATATTTCGGTACACACATTTCGATATAAACATTTAGGTATATTCAATGGGAACTAGTATTAGCACTCCAAAAATCTTATTCTACACTCCTCACCAGTGTATTTTTCTTTCTAATTATAAAAAGTTTGGAGTGCCAAATGAGATTTTAGAAGTGCTAATAACAATTCCCTATTCAATATAATACATTTTGGTACACAGATTTAGGTACATTAATTTAATATAATACATTGCGATGCATATATTTCATTACATACATTTCTATACTAACATTTAAATACATTAGTTCAATGTAATAAATTTTGGTACTAACATTTAGGTACATTAATTGAGTCTTTCAAGTTTGAATAATGTTAAATAAAATTAATAAATAAAAATAAAAACTTTTTTGGTCAAAAAATAAATTAAAATTTGTTTATTAATAAATTTAAATATTTAATGAGAGACATTAAATAAAATGCACATTGATCATTTTGAATTAAGGACACATCAAGAAACTGTAATATATATGTAGTCTAATACCAGATTTATTTTAAATTTTAATCTTCTTAAAGGGTTAAAGTTAAAAAATCCCAATAATTAATTGATTAAAAAATTCTACCATGCTTCGTATAGCATGTTCGCGATGAATGTAGGGTTGGATGCACGGCCCAAGATCTAATTGCCCAAAGATCCCAGTGTATAATTCATACTAAAAAACCTCCGTTAAATTATGAAAATTCTACTCTGCTCCGATCCATGGCATGCGCCGAATATCAACGAGCTGATTCTTGGGCTGTGCATTTAAAAGCGTGAAAACTCTACCATGCTCCGGCGAGTTTCATAGTCCAAAGTCCAGTATTGGTTTAGGTCTAAATATGCAAGGAAGCAACAGGGGGCAAAGATTAAAGAGCCAATGAAGGAGAAAAATAGGGATACAAATAATCACGAAAACAAACGAGGAAAGCGTTGTGGTTCGCTATCTGTAGACAAGGTTTCAAAGTGAAAAATAACACAAAACGACGGCTCGATTTCACTAGACTACAATATAGTTGTTCATCCATATTCCAAAAAGCAATATCACTAACAACATTTGCATGGCCACTAGTCAACAAAAATAGAGGCTGCTTAACATATGACGGCTTACTGATATATCTAGGAAGTGTGTGATACCTGTGTGAACACCGTATCTGGCAACCTGAAAGTGCCCGATTCTCTAACTGTGAATCTGAATGATCAATTTTTGAGAACGGAAATGTAGCTGTGTAACAGGTATCATTTATGAACTTTTTTGTTGAGATTGAAACCGAAGGAGATCCCTTCGATGTTTCATAGCCACTTTTTTCTCCAACTGGCAGCTCTTTTATCACCGGATAAGAGTCTGGGAATGCTTAACAGACTGTTAACGCGGGTAATACCTTCCAAGGCCGACCAGTCCTCGTCCTCTTTTGTTGAAATGCATTCTGCTAAACTTCTTTTAGACTGGCCCTCGAACTTCGTTGGAAGCTTTTGTTCTGTTGAATCAGATACGGGCACAATCTCATCAGAGCTTCGTATGGTACCCGAATGCTCAAGAACAGCATGAGAACTACCAGTTTCTGAATCCTCAGTATTCTCTTCTGTTATTGCCATCCTCTCCATTGCCTCTCCGTTAATCTTCGTCTCTTCATTACTCTTTGTCTTGTCATTAATCTTCATCATTTCATTAACCTTCGTCTCTTCATTAATCTTCATCATATCATTCTCTGTCACAGCCTCACCAGCTTCAGACAACTTTTCTAGAAAAAGGCATACAACAGCACAATCATCATTCTTGGAAGTAGGGTATTTGAGCCTCCAGGCTCTAACGGCACAGTCCACTAGAGCCCTGGCTGCTGTTGTATGACCGGGGGCAGAAGCTACAATTTCAACAGCCTCCTTGTTTGAAAGGACGTCCCAGACCTGTATGATGTGTAATTTATTGAGCACTTTTAGGCCACAAGAAACCAAAAATATAAAAAGGAAAGAAGAAAGATACCCCATCGGTGGCAAGAATTATGAACTCATCTCTTTCAGTAAGATGGTGATAGAAAACATCAGGCACAGAAATTAAACCAAAATCCTTCAGACAGAAATCTCCAAAGGCTCTAGCCATTGCCAAACCAGGAGAATCATTATTCGGCAACCATACACGAGCAACCTCTGGCTCATCCTGCAAAGCAAATACCCTTCCCTTGCATTGCTGGATCCTAGCAGATTCCGCTAAAAACAGAAGAGTCAATAAATTTTCATCAACGGATTTTATTTTTCTTTGCAGTCAAGTATCAGGTTTGTACATGAGATTTGTGAGAGAGAGATACCAGGAAGATCTGGCTTTAAATCAACTGTCAATTGTACAGCAATCAGAGAGTTGTCTTGGTCTCTCGTTGCTAGCACAGCCCTTGAATCCCCAACATTTCCAATTACAAGATTCTGACCCTAAAACACCGTAAACCTCGAGATTAGTTTTCTCAACAGTGATAGGAAATTTCATCATACTGAGAATGTCTAGTTCAGCCTTCAACCAAGACAGCTTCCAAGAAATGCCATTATGATAAGAATTCCCGTAACTAAAAATAAATTAATTAATTTCAAAGAAAAGAAGAATAGAACAGACTCATAATAACGATAAAAAAACTAAAAGCACTTACCAAAGGATCAGATTTCTTGTTATTATAGTAAAGAAAACAGATTATGAACAAATAAAAAAGAAAATTTTGTGTAAAAAAACTGTATAATCTCAAAGTTTCCAGAAACCTTTGGTTAGAGAATGATCACTTATATGAATGATATGAAAATACAAATCATTTTTAAACTTATTTTCCAACATATTTTACCAATTTAGTTGATCATAATGTTAATGTTTAAATGACAAACAACATTTAAATTTTTTCCCCCAAAGCTCTTGATGTTTCCCTTGATGACAAAAAGCATCAGCACATAAGCTGCTTAAAACTTATGGGCCGTTTGGTATCCTTCTTCAATCCAAATATTTGTTTTTGAAACTTTTGAGTACTAGGTAATTTAGCTACATTCATCATTTTTGAAAACTATAAATTGCTTTCAAATTGAGTACCAAACAACCCCTAACTTTTCAGACGTTTTTTACCTTTTAGAAGGGGATGGTGTGAGGCTTTTAAGTTATCCTCAACACAGTACCTATCCAAGTTTTTTTACTATCATATACTCATGTATATATGTACATACATACGCATGCATGCATGTAAGCATATGCACGTATGCATGTAAGCACATGTACGTACCCATGTAAGCACACAAACACCATGTCACATACGAATACAAAATGATGCATAGAAATACACGCACACACACTTTGAGGATGTTTCATGAACAATCACCTGCTTTACCAATGTAACAGCAGTCGTGCCACTGCAGAAGCAATCGATGGTTGGATGCAATTTTAGTTCCTTGTCCATTAACTTGAAAGCCTTTAAGAATGACTTTTTTAGTGGGAGATACATGTCAGGTAGATTTTCATTTGCCTGAACCTCCAATGATTCGCACCATTCATCATCAATGCTTGGCGATGCAGGTTCCTCCAAATTAGAGCTCCCATTCGCATTCTCAGCCTTATTGAGATTGCTCAGATCACTGTTTGAATTAGCTTTCCACTGAGTACATAGTATAAGAGGAAGAGAATCCCGAACTTTCTTGGCGACCACGTGACCAAATGGACCGTGGCCATCAAACACCCCACAAAATGTTGTATCACTTCTTGTGGCAAAATTCTACAGCAGAAACTTGCAAACAAATCAGCACAAATTGATCCCAAAAAATGAACAAGAGAAATAGAGAACATTTCATATAAAGGAACAACCTTCCAAAAAGCTTTGTAATTTGACTATGCTAATTCAATGACGTAGGGGAAATCAACATTTTACTGACAAATCATTACGCCGTAAAATGTAACAAATTTCAAGTATATTCTTTATCTTTTAATTGATAAAAAAACGTCTCCTTAGCCTCACAGAGGTATGGAAGATTGAAGAAGGGTCCTTCCCAAGACCAGCTAAAAAGAACGTAAAACGGGCAACTGAGTACGGTATGCCTACATGCAGGGCATTCATGCCGAAATTCCTCGCAAGGGTCATTCCAAAATCACACAAAGGTCAAATATATTAGTACAGGAGCTCAACTGGATTCGCAAAATCTTTGCTCTGAAGTGTGAACAAAGTTATAAATAGATTAATGTAACTCACAATTCAAGTAATCCCTGAATAAAATAGTACCAACAAAAAGTGACCTAGCAACTGTGCAATTGAAGCAACACCACCAATCCATTTCTATCTTTCTTCCCCATTTCCATAGAACCCTTTACTATTAATACCATCCTGCCAAAATATGAACCCACATTTTCCAGTTTCCACAGATTTTTTTCCAAAAAAATAGCTGCAAAAAGGTCCATTTTTCTACTCAATCTTCCAAACCCAACTGCAAAAATACAGTAAATATGCAGAAATGGGTTTTGATATTGGGGTCAGATCACGGTCAAACATGTGGTCACAGCTGATGATAAAGCAGCAAAACAGCAGTAAAAAGTTAGAGAGAGAAAGTCAAGAGCAAACCAACCTCCCAGACAAGCATGGCGTCCTGATTGGTCCCTTTCTTTCCCTGCTGGGTATACAAGCAGGCGACTTTGCTGCCTCCATTGCCGATCAATCTGCCCGGAATACCAATCTGATGGCCCAAATCTCCGCAACCCGCTTGCTCAGCTCTCGGCTTCTTCCTCTTCCACCGTTTCGAGCCGCCTTTGGCCTTCGGAGAAGCGTCGTCGGCGTAGTCCACTTTGCTCTGCTCCACCATATCACTCCTCTGCCCCAAGCTTTTCTGAGTCGAACAACACGAACCCATTTGGTATTCGAATTTATGCGGTGCTCCGGAAAAAAAAAACCAATTCGCCAAATCGGATCCGGAGATTCTTTTGTCGCAGAGATTCAATTCAAAAAATGGAGCACAGTGGAGGACGATGGGTAGGTGCACGCTTTGTCACATGGTCACAGAGCCATATAATTTTCAAATAAATTAAAACAGATATTAATAACATTAATACTAATATTAAATTAATTAAATTTTTTTAAATTAAAATGGTTCTTGAAATTGTCATAACCTTTTACTTTGATATCTGAAATTTAAAATCGATAAAAATTGATATTGAGATTATTCATCGTCAATCATTTGATCATTATGTAAAAAAACGATGTTGAATTAAAAAAAAAAAAAAACTATCAGTTTAAGGGAATTAATAATAAAAAAACCCTCAATCTAATAGACATTTCTCACTAAAAGACTATAACGATTGACGGTGAACAATCTCAAAGATCAATTTTTTTTTATTTTAAATCTTAAAAACCAAATAAAAACCCTATACATTTAATAAAGATTCTTGACAACAATGACCCATCTGCAAGAATTTGTTGACCTTCTTCAATCTTCATCCACCTTCTTTCTGTTTTTAAATCAAAGTGGTTTCATTTTTTTATTTGTGCCCAAAAAGATAGTCTTTTTTTTCCATTTCTTTAATTTCCACCTTTGGGAAGAACAAAAAAAACAAAAAATTGAAGGAAATAAAATAAAGTTTTTGTATAAATATTTCAACCACTTCAACTGGTCCATTGCTCAACATTTAATAATCGGTTGAATCATGTGACATGCACGAGAAAGACACCATGGAATTGTTAATACCCTACGGCAAAATTGAAAGACACCGTCACTTGTTTGCGTTCATTTTCAGGATTTAATTTTATGTTTCGTATCATTCAATGTTTAGGTTATCGATTAAGTTTTTTTTAACAACAATAATTAAGCTTTGTTCCAATAAGTGATGTCAGTTGTATGAATTCTAAAAAGCTGTTGTGCTCGATTTTGCATCGAGTATTTCGTTAACTCCAAGTATTCCATATCTATTCTTGAACTCTCTTTTCAAGTTTTCTAGGTCTTCCTCTACTTCTTTTGCTCTGAGTCTTTATCTCGTAGTCACAACTTTTGACTGGAGCATATGTAGGTTTTCAGTTCATGTTTCTAAATCACCTTAACTAATTTTATCTCATCTTATCTTCAATTACGACCATTCATACTTTACCTCGAATATTCTCATTCTCAATCCTATCATTTCTTGTGTGCCAAATTCATCAAAATCAAAATTCATTTTAGCCATTTGATTAGCGGTGTAACCAGTTTATTGTTAATTGACAACCTTTTTTTGTTCGTTTGTCTATGTGGTCACAATTACCTAACAAAACGGTTTTTCTTTTTTTCAAGAGATTAGCTAGTGCATTTGTCATGACAATCTATCCTTTTTTGGATCATAAAAACTCAGAGAGGTATTTCAATTTCTTTTAACCACCATTATATAACAAAATACTTTTGATTTAAACAAATTCGTGCAAAGATGATCTTTTAATGATGGCTTTTGAAACTATCGGTCCATATAAACATAAGTATTATAAAACGAGTGATTAACTTTATATTAATTTACTAACTAATTAGCGTTTAAGCATTACTAAAGAAAAGTAACAAGATAAAATAGAATCCACTGACTCCGATGTAGTCGAAGAAATAACTAGTTGACTTTTGTTGTAAACGATATATGGAACTCTGAACTGTCAGTGTGCAAAGTGAAGTCTTTGAGATTCCACATTTTGGCATTGTCATCTCCGTCGCAACCGGAAGAGTTAAACTCTCTTTTTTCATGTCTAATCTGGTAGTGGGTAGTGACTGGTGAGGGTTGATAATATGACACGCTTTTTGTTTCATTGGACATGGATTTTGTCGTGTGCTTTTGTGGAGCAAATCACTTTGACAGTGAAGGCAGCTAGATGCCGGACAGGAACTTGCAGTCTTTTCTCGAGACTTTGATCATGCAACAAGAGAGATTACAAAATGTTATAAAGCAAGTAAATTATTACTAATGTAAAAAAATTACGTGATAAAAGACACACAAGTGAGTTGTATGTAACTGTTGTGAGAATGTGAAGAATAAAGTTTTACATGGGATGGTGGAACACACCTTGTAAATAGGGCTCACAATTTCTTATATGACCTGTTAATCTGACATGAAACGACATAAAAATAACGAGTTTCGGGTCAACTTATTAATAAGTCGAGTCATTATCTTGTAACCCGTTAATAATCTGTTAATGCATCGGATCGTTATCAGGTCACCCATTAAGAACCTGATGAAATATCATTTGCCAAATATAGATATTAGGCATAACAATTCTTGCATAACCGTTAACCCAACACGAAACGACACGACTGGTTAACGAATCAGGTCCTTATTGGGTCACTTATTAAGAACCCGTTAAAGTAACGTGTTTGACATAACATGACTCGTTAAGATAAAGGATACGACACGAAAATGACAAGATTACGACAAACACAGCCTGTTTGCTAGACACATTTCAAAGGGCTTATAAAGAGTAATTGTCAATTGTTTTTATGGTAGAACCTCAACTTATGCATGGTATCAAAGCGTAAGTTGGCCAACATGTTAAGCCAATGTGTGAAACCCTACAGTTATACAAGATTTCACGTCATCCAATTCGTGTTGTCCACGTGCTCGTGTAGGGGAATATTTTATGCTTGGTAAGATATACTTGCATGTACTTAGACCATCTCCAACATAATGAGGGTCAGATGGCTCGTTTTAGCCCTCTGGCCCTCCAAGAAATTAATATTTTAATGAACAGTGCAGAGTCATATTTCTTATCATCTCCAACCGAGGGCCATAGGGCTCGTTTTAAACTTTATCACAAAAATCCGTCTCCAACCAAGGGCCAATGGGCTATAATATGGAATGTAAAGAATTGAAATAAAATAAGGTAAGATAGTATAGAATGGTGAAAAGTATGTGAGAAATGATGTAGGAAACAATTAGAAAAAAAAAAAAAAAATGGGCTGGGCAAATGGAAAAGAACAAAAAATAAAATAATAATAAGTGGGCTAGCCAACAGGCTGGCTGAAGATGGCCAACCAGTTGGCCCTTTGACCTTTTTTTGTCCCGTGGGGCCATAAGCCCTTTAGCCTAGTTTTTTATTGGAGACGATTTTTAAATTATTTTTGGCCTTCTGACCTTCTGGACCCGTCAGTTAGAGATGGTCTTATGAGTTGGCATATTCTATAGAGCATGGGTTGAAGCTCCCAAGTCTCTACCAAATAAGCACAACGCAAAGAGACAAATGGTAGCTACATGAAAACAAATGGAATCCTTTACACTAAAGCATTGCCCTTACACTTCATCTAGGTTTTGGTTTCATTTGTGCAAGGTGGTGTGTTTGGTCGTTGGAGTGGAATAAAATCAATGTGAATAAGAATGGGAATATAATCGATTCCATTGTTTGGTTGATAGTGAGAACTAGTAAAAGCACCAATGCTCAATTTCATTCCATTACCATTCTCACTTTATTACTTTTAAATATTGTAAAATTCGCATTTTACCTTTTGTTTTTTTGTCACACTTTCATACCTAAATTTTTTTTTCTCACATATTCATAATTCTGTAAGTCTTTTCGTCAAGTGCTTGTTAATTGATGACATGACATTGTGGGTCCCATAGGGACATGTGAAACAATTTAGTTTTTTTTTTTTTTAGGGGAAAATTAAGAAAAATGTTAATATCCCACCTCCAAAAGCGAAGTCCCCAAAATCAACCTCCATCTCTATCTATCTTCACACCCCCACACCAGATTAGTTATCATGGTTGTCGACTCGTCGTCGGAGAGAATAAACACTGATTCCTTCAACTTGTAGTAATTATTGGTCAAGAAATCGAATTGAATCGATCGAATTGAGTTGGAATCGAAAATCTAACAGAACTGAATCGTAGTCGACAAATCAAATCGATATGATTCTTCGATTCAAACAGTCGACCACAAGAATCCAATTTCGATAATATATTTTCTTTTTCCGTTGACGAGGTTGAAGAGACAAAATAGAGAGAGGAGGCTTGTCAGCGGCGATAATGGTGGTTTCTGCATCTGGTAATGGAGGTGAGGCAGCCAACGGCTCGTGAGCATTGCAGAGTCGAAGAAGGAAGGGAGAGCATTATCCTTTGTTTTAAATTTCCATTAATGAATTAATTTTTAATATTATTTAATTTGTCACGTCTGTAAATTTTGATGGGTCAGTGGCCTACGCACTTAATTGAAGGGCTAACATAAGTATAAACTTATGAGAAATTGTAATTTTAGGAGTGAAAGTGAGATGAAAGAACTCATGATAGCAAAGTGTGAATTTTATGATACTGGAGAGTAGTAAAGTAAGAATGTTTCACATGTCCACGTGGAGCCCACAATGCCACATCATCAGTTGTGCTTGACGGGAAAATTAATAAAAATATGAATTTGTAACAAAAAAGTAACTTTATGTATGAAAGTTAGACGAAAAAGGTAAGAGTATTAAAGTGCGAATTTCACGAGTTTAATAAGGTGTGAACTATGTTTTGGTTGAAAAAACAAAAACAAATAAGTTTAAAAAGCCACTTAATACTACAATCTCATAATATTCTTCTTCACTCGTAAACAAAAAGTTTTAGGTTCAATTTTTCGCCAAAGACGAATCACATTATTGCAGTTCCATTATCAAATTAAACTCCCCTCTCATTTAGTTTAGATAAGATCGTTTTTAAAAAAAAAATAATTTAAAAAAAGACAGTAACCGTTAGTTTCGTCCGAAAAAAGAACCACCGTTAGATGATTTCAGATTCGCGTCTTTTCAGACGCGTGTCGGAGAGATCTTTTAATTTATCCATTACAAACGCCGTTAAAGTACCCAGTACCCAGCACCCAATGCCTGAGCAGCTTCAGGTGGCATAAGAAGTCAAAAAACTAGGTCTTGAGATGGGTCTCTCCATCTCTATCTGAAAGCCCGAAGAAAATTTGCAGCTGCCCCTCTCTCTCATTCTCCTCTTTGGTAATTTTCTCTCTCTAACTCCACCTTCTTCTTCTTCTTCTTCTTCTTCTTCAAGCTTTTGCTAGCTTACCAAATCTTATCGGTAACTTCCATGGCTGAAATAAATGATTGATTGATCATTTCTGTAGTTCTTTTCACTCAGTCAAGACTGAAACTTTACTGTGATAGATCAAAAGATTTCAAGTTTCTTTTCATTTTTCATATTTTTTGAAGGAAATTAAATTTTGGGTTCTGAAGTGAGTGACTTAATTTGATCGAATCAAGTGTGTATTTGATATATACATATACATAATATATATATATATGTATATGAACTGTTGTGCACTTTGTACTGCAAGCTGGTATTTTTTAGGGGAAACTTCTATCATGGGATTTATTCATTTATTAATTTGGAGATGGAAAATTTTGGATCTCTCTTTTATCAGTTTGTCAAAAGCACTTTGTGAAGATTTTGACTTTGTCAAGTCTTTCTATTGAAAAAAGAAAGTCTTGATTGAATTGAGTTCTTATGGGAGTTTTAGAAATTTGTTTTTAAAAGTAAAGCTTGCCTCTAACCAAATTCATCAAACTATAGACTTTAGATTAACTACTACACCCTTGAAACTGTAAAGTGCTTAATAAATAAGTAATTTGAAAAGTGCTTATTTTGGTATATGTTGCAGGACGCAGTTCCATTTGTGGTGTGTTTGGCTTCCAAGAAACTTCCGTATGTTATTATAATTTTCCTTGAATATTTTGTTCGTGAAGTTTTAGCTATATCATGGGAGTATGTGATCTTAAGTGTTTTATGTATTACGATGCAAAGCTGAGAAAGTAAGGCCAATAGACGAATATGAAACGAACCAAATACTATGCTGATTGATACTAATTAAATAGAGTACTTCATTATGACGGAAATCATTCATCCGTTGAGGCAAATTAATGTTATGTTGTTTATGAACGTAACCTGTCTCTTCAGACAGGTAAAATGCAAGGAGTACTCAAAACTTTTACATCACACGGAAGCATTGTGAAAAATGGAGTTTTGAGACACATCCGTCTTGTGAATCCCCTGCTCCAGCCTGTTGCGTTTTCACGTTTTGAGTCTGCTACGCCTGCCAGTACCCGCATAGAAGAGCATGGTTTTGAAAGCACCAGAATTGCAGATGTCTTGAATGCAAAAGGTAAAGGTGCTGATGGTTCCTGGCTCTGGTGCACAACCGATGACTCTGTTTATGATGCTGTTAAGTCGGTAAGCATATTTGAACCTTACATGAAAGTTCGTGTTCGTGCAATGATTTTACAATCTTTGGCATGAAGGATTTAAGTCATAAATAATTAAAAATTCCCTTGCAGATGACCCAGCACAATGTTGGAGCCTTAGTTGTTGTGAAATCCGGAGAGCAAAAATCTCCCGCAGGAATCATAACAGAGAGAGGTAGGCTTATGTGATATACTGATATATACCATTCCGCACTTGTTTGAGATCATGATGTGAATGATCTTTGTATTGGGAGCTGGATTATTCTAGTCTGAAATTTGTTAAGGGAACATGCCAGCTGTGAGAAATTTATGCATTTCAATTTCAAATGTTTCAGCAGCTCCTTAGGGAAGCTTGTTTAGATTCGATTTCGTTTTTCTGAGAATTATTTTTGGAAACAATGGTCTAGATCACTTTGAGTAAGGATAACACCAATAGAAATTCATTATTAATCTATTCTACAATCGGTATCGAGCTTTACTCTTGAAAGTAGGAACAAATTCGTAAGTTAAAGGTTGAAGAAAAGCACCGGGCAGAATGAATGAGCTCATAGATGCACTTGTTGCTGAACAATAAGCTAAAATAGAATGGTAAATTTGGCAAACATTTGGGAAAGTTTGAAGGGATAATCACTGTCTATAATTTTGATTACATGAAATGCGTTGCACTAACAGTGATCGGAAGGTACATTTGGGTTCTCCATAATTAATTGTATATCTGTTTGGCGGATAATTTTCAGATTATCTCAGGAAGATCATAGTTCAGGGAAGATCATCCAAGTCAACAAAAGTTGGGGATATCATGACTGAGGAGGTATAACTTGTTATACCTAATTCGTACTCCTTTTACAGGAAACTTTGTACTCTTACATTTGTTGAAGTTTCATGAATGTTTAACATCTGATCGAAAATGTAAAAACGCGGTGCCTGCAGAACAAGCTTATCACTGTCACCCCTGACACCAAAGTTTTGCGGGCAATGCAACTCATGACAGGTATTATCTTCTGCTTCTTGTTACAGAAGTTTCCAACTTAAACGTTCCTTTACGTTATATTTTCCTTCCATGCAAGGAAGCTGTTTTAAACTTGAAATTTGTATGTATTATGCGTAGAAAACCGAATCAGGCACATTCCAGTAATGGACAACGGGAAAATGGTTGGAATGGTGTCCATTGGTGACGTGGTTCGTGCTGTGGTGAGTGAGCACCGGGAGGAGCTGAACCGCTTGAATGCTTTTATTCAAGGTGGTTACTAGATAATGATGATGACGAAGAAGTGAGACGCTGCTTTAGTTGACATGCCGGAATGACAAACAGTAATAACCCTCGCTCGAGTGCTTGTATATATCGTGTGTGTTCGTTTGTGCACCTCCGGTTGTTGTTTGGTTCTGTACTTCCAGTTACTGTCTAATTACAAACCTGTGGGACTATCAAGTACTTAACAATAAGCAATGTTATGTTTTGCTTAAATCGTCCTTCTTTCTCCGGTCGATGGTAGCTTGTGCGTACCTTGTATTTGACGTCGCACACGTTTATGTCGAAACCATAATCTTGAATGTCGTTTGGTGTTTAAACATGTAAATCAAGCTAGTGTTCAAATATACTCGTTTGAAATGTTTTTAAAATGATTGAAAACGCTTTTTATGAGAGTGCTTGTGAAACCAATTCTTAATAAAAATGTACGTGAATCTTGATCTCAAAGTATTTTCACAAAAAACGTTTTCAGTTATTTGAAAAGACTTAAATTTTAATTTTTACTTTAATTTTTTCACATGAAGGGAAACCTTATGTTTCTTTAATCACGTGATCCATTACCTTTACATGTGAATATATTCACGTGACTCGTGAGTGAGTAAAAGCTTAGAGTAACATTTACTCATGTAAAATGTTGAGCTTATAAATGGCTTAAAGGAAATAAGTTTTCTCATGAAATTACCGAAAATGAATTTTACTTCGGAAACAAAGGTTGCTAGTTGCAGTCGTCCACGCAAGTATTAGTGACTGCTAATTGTTAATGCATAATTAAACTCGTCCGCATTAATTGATGACAACAGAAGTATGTGTTAGAGCGATCATTCTTAGACTTTCTTATTTCAAAATGAAAAACTGAATATATGTTTTTGAGTAACAATTTAATAATCATTTTTTCACATGAAATATGACATGGCGACGTGATACAAAAATTCAATAATCATTTTTCACATGAAATATGACATGACGACATGGGGCTCATTTTTTAGTAGAATAATGCTAGGGAGACTAAATTTTGTAAACTAAATGATATGAAAGTTGATAATTAGATTATTACTTAAACGTTGATAAGCGTGCTCATTTCTTATTGGTCACATCATTTAGTTTGCAAATTTAGTCTCTCTAGCATTACTCTTTCCAAAATAGCCTCTTGTGTTGTAATTTGAATAATTAGAGTATCTTCAAATGAGACATCAAATTCAAAACATTAAATTTTAATTTGATGATTGACTTGACAATTTGACATATTGTCAATATTTTACTGCCACCCGATATGCCAAAATTTATTTCTTCATTTATGTTTTTTTTAAACAAAAATAATAAAAGTTGGATTGTTGTTGGTTTAAAAATAATAAAATAATACCTAAATATGCTAGCATTTAAGGTAAAGCAAGTGGAATGCCTTTGGAAATAGCAAAAATCAAATTACTAGGTTTGAATGATAATTTTTTAACAGTTACGTCAACAGTTAATGGTTGACTAGACGATCAATCTAATAAAAGCCGTAAATTATTCAAATGTCAAAAACACCAAAGTGTAATGTAAGACAAATTGATGACATGGTGACGTCAGGCTCACTAACAAAATAGCCTCCTTGTGTTATATTTTGAATAGTTAGTAAGTGTGTGTTGTGGTTTTCTAACAGTTACGTCAACAACTAATGGTTAACTAAATAATCAATCTAACAAAAGACGTAAACTGATTGAACATCAAAATACCTACGTGTAAAACTAAAACTTCATTACTCATTTCGAAAATGATCCAAACCTAATATCGTGAAATAAGCTTGGCCCTAAAAGTAACAAACAGGAAACAAAGACAAATACTTTTCTAGCGACGAAGACAATAATGTCAATAAATGTAATAAACCCTGCATTACAAATTTCCAATCCATCAACGTCAAAAGACTCAAAACTCAAAAGAGGAGAATTCTCTACCCTTCAATGCTCATCTCATCCGCTTATACATTGTTTTTGTCTCATTATCTTTATAAAAAATCAATATAAAATATTGACGTGGCTTAACTGTGACTGTTTATGTTGCTTGCTACTTTGGATGTGGACAACCAAATTATATATATATATATATATATATATATATATATATATATATATATAGAGTTTTATGCTTTGAGAATCAAACCCCACCACAGGTGACGAAACTACACAAAACTAGAAAATATTGCATAAAATTCCAAAAGGAAGTGATATATATAGAGTTTTACGCTTTGAGAATCAAACCCCACCACAGGTGACGAAACTACCCCACCACAGGTGACGAAACTACACAAAACTAGAAAATATTGCATAAAATTCCAAAAGGAAGTGATATATATAGAGTTTTACGCTTTGAGAATCAAACCCCACCACAGGTGACGAAACTACACAAAACTAGAAAATATTGCATAAAATTCCAAAAGAAGTGTTATTAGCACTAAAAAAATCTCATTTTACATTCCTCACAAATATTTTTTTTTCTTCTTCTAATATATAAAATTTAGAAAGTAGAATAAGATTTTTAGAGTGGTAATAACAATTCCATTCCAAAATAAAATATCCATTTGCTCATCTCTTTGCTCTTCCCCGCCCGCAATCAAGACTCTTCGGCCAATCTCTGGTATCCTTTAATCCTTAGTTCCTTACTCAATGAATATTATATGGTTCTTTTACATATACTTTTTGATTTTGTGATCCTTGTTTGACTGGCTGGTCCTTCCTCTTCATTTTTATCTGGACAAAGCAGAAGAAGGTTTTTCTGCTTCTGAGTTCTAAAAAGCGCTTACTAACTTGGAATTGGAGTTAATGTAAGTTGTTTTGAAAGTTGAAAGCTTTTTGAGGCTGCTTGCATTTTTGTTGTTATTGATCTTTGTTTGACTGGCTGGTCTTTCCTCTTGATTTCTATCTGGAAAATCTGCTGCTTCTTTTGCTTCTGAGTTCAGAAGCGCTTATAAACTTGGAATTGGAGTTAATGTAAGTTGCTTTCAAAAGGGTTCTTTTCTTTTTGTCCAATCTTTTGAAATTTGAAATCTTTTGAGTCAAATTGGTTTCTTTGTTATCAAGAAAAAGGACTCTGCTTGCATTTTTATTGTGTATGCGGAACAGGGTTTGATCTGGAATATATTTTTTGAACAGTCTGAGCGTTTAATCCAACAAGGAAGAAGTATGGTGGGATTTTCTTTTCCCTTTGGTTTAGTATCCACATCTGGCCATCTTGTTCCTGAGAAAGAATTTCACTTGCTGGCATCTGTCCTCTTTGGCATCTTTCTCTGCAATATTGTAAGTTCCAATCTCTAATTTAGTTGTTTATTGTGGGGCTGAAACTTTTCTTTGAACCTCTTTGCTTGATAGCTGACGGAGTTGCTGAACTATATTCTCCGTGGTCGAAAGGAAACTAATATTTGGGTTTCAAATTTTCTATTATTGCCTTCAACTCCATTTGCACTAGTAGTTTTCTGAACAAGTTCCTAAATTTGGCGTTTGATCGAATGATTCAACTAACTTTTCCCGAAGTTGATAGTGTCATTGTTTGGCTGTTAAATTAAACTTTGGTTGCATTTATTCAAGGATTATGTAAGAAATCAGGATTCATGAACATGCACCTTTGAATACATTTAAAGAGACCAAGTAGCCATTTGCGGTTTCAATATTTGGAATGGAGAATGAAAATAAAAACAAGTTTTGGATGAGTCTTTTAGATAGGAAGTCTGAATCTGAGTGTTCTAATAATGGATAGATTAATACCGGTTGTTCTCTGTTGATGGCTCCAAATCTAGGTTCTTTTTGTTACGCTGTAGTTTTCTTGGTCTATTCTGTGTTCTCAAAATGAATATTCTGAACTATGAAAAGTTATAATCTTTCTTTTTGGTAGTTTTGAATTTGATGAGAATTCAATCTTGAAGGTTTACAGATTAGCGCGCCTTATTAGCCTTCTCAGCGTTGAGGGATATGACGAACTCAGCAAAGCAGAAAAAGTTGAATGGAATAACCGGTGAATATCTTCTGCGAGTCCAAGATTGAGTTTCTTGATTTTGATTTTGTTTTTTACTTTTTGGGATAAGAATTCTCTTGAATTTCGTCAAGAATACTAGTATTGATTCTTTTTTCCTCCTTTCCTGTACAGGGGGTTCTCAACTGTACATGCTATCGCCGTAGCATTTGCATCTTTTTACCTTGTAGTGTTGTCAGATACTTTTCATGAGGATCATCGTGATGAGCCAATCGTTAGTAGAAGATCTACCTTTTCAGATACAACATTGGGGGTAAGCAAATGCAGAAAGAAGCATTCATTCATGGCTTAATTTCTATCCACTCCCAGAAAATTTTATGTCTCTTCGCTTATGAATTTTGAATCAATTTGACTGTGCTGCAACATGTCAATTACTCTTCTGATACAGTTGGTTTCATTGACTGTCAAACATGTTCTGTAGCACATCAAAACAAATGAGCTAAATTATCTCTTACGTTTTGCATCTGCGACTCTGTGTCTACCCATACCATCCTTGTGTGAAGTTTTCTTCACATCCTTTTACAACCCGAATTGATTACTTTGAGCTAAATTAAACTGATAATTGTAAACCAAAAAAACTTGTACTTTATTGTTTTCACTAATGCAGAAATTTTTTACATTTTGATCTGCATATGCATGTTTTTGCAAATGCGCAAGTGCACACCTACATGCACTTGGGTTAGGCAACTGAGCATTAACATCTTATGTCAATTACATCTGCCGGGTTGTTTGACCCAAGTTAAGCCTAAATGCAATCAATCTGACATGAACCTGTTAATGGAAGATTGGTTTGAGTGTAGTATTCAGTTCGTATGAAAAACTGCAGCTCCTATTCTTCATGTTTCATGTTCAGTTCTATGCACGATGACAGTTTCTCAATCAATAAGCGACTTTCAAATGCCCCTACTGTAATTTACAATTTTCTGGGTGCAGACACTTACTATTGTAACTAATTTTATTGGGTACTTATTGCAGATCTCCTTCGGATATTTTCTGTCAGACTTGGGAATGATTTTTTGGTATTTTCCTGCTTTAGGTGGACTGGAGTATGTGAGTGCATAGATGAAGGATATTGCCTGTTTGATATACATAACAATCTCTTCTAGGCTATTTTTATTAAAACCTTAAACCATATATTTTGGTTCTAAAATTAACTCGGTGAAGTTTGGTAAAGATAAAAGTTGTATTTAACGCCTCAGTTGAATCAGTATCGTGGTTTAATAATTTCAGGTGGTTATCTTACCGTTCAAGTTTGAATGCAAGTCAAATTCTGTATTAACTGGTACGATGATGTTCATCTGTTTTATCTTGTTTAGGTTTTGCATCATGCACTATCTATGTACTCGATCTTTCTCGCCCTTTTAAGTGGAAAAGGCCAGATTTACATACTAATGGTTCTGTTCTCTGAGAGCACGACTCCTTTTGTAAACATGAGATGGTGAGTGTAACATTTGGTAATCCCTTAAATCTCATGTTCTTGGTTGTCGTTATTTGATGATTCATGCGATTGCATACTCAGGTACTTGGATGTTGCTGGTAGGAAGAACTCTAACCTGTACGTCTTCAATGGCGCAGTATTGTTCCTGGGGTGGCTGGTAATGTCTAACTAACTCAATACGTTTGGTTCCTTTTAATCTTCGTGCGTTGTTATATGAGTTAACGTCTTTCAATTGCCTTCTGGTGTAGAACTGCTGTTTAACTTAATTTACCTCATTTCCCTCAAGTGACATAATTTGTTACGTCTAACGGTTTATTTCCACCAATTCATTCAGGTTGCAAGAATTCTTTTGTTCATTTACTTTTTCGTCCACATGTTTATCCATTTCGATCAAGTGAGTTCGTTCTGCATACCCATTCATCTTCCTTGTTAACAGAACAACTTAAGATTCTGACCTGCAAAAAGTTCGGTACTTACAATCTCGGCATTCTTTCAGGTCAAGACAATGTTCCCTCTGGTATTTTACAGCTTGCTCCCGGTGCCTCCAATGCTGGCTACAATGAATCTCATTTGGTTTTGGAAGATCACCAAAGGTTTGATCAAAACTGTTTCCAAGGCCAAACACAGTCAGTGATCCTTCGATCTCGAGAGTCGGGAATTCGATGTACCCCAATGTACATTAGTCGTACGTCTTCTTCCCTTTTGATGGTACATAAAATTCTGTCACAAAGTTCAGTGAAATTCCAAAAGCTTTGGTTCTCAAATCAACTTTTATGTCATTTTTTGGTTAGTATTGGAGATTAAACTCGAAAACTAGACCCGACGAAATCATATACTGCACCATTTTTTACGAAGAGTTCGGGACCTTCGGATCAAATATCGAGTGATTTTCAGACACCAATTTTCTCTCAATTTACAACTTGTTTACTTTTCGCATTTGAATTGAATAAAACTAAGAAAACTCAATTGATAGATATAAATAGACGTGTGCAGAAATTATTTTCCGTTCGTTTCCTGGTCAAATGTTAATTTAATTTAGGATTACGCATGCTTTTTTATAGAACTACCTTCTTACTCATCCATAAAGCAAAAGTCCACTAGGTTGAGATACTATTCGGATTCCCCTTCCCCAATATTCCCCAATATATATATAGAAAGAACCTACAAAAGTAACAAAACTCTTACCTTAATAAACAATGTGATTCGGATAATACACCTCCAGTATATATGCCACCACATCTGTTCTTTTGGTTAGAAAGAGAATATTAGGAATAAAAAAGTTAGCAATAAACTACCGAAAACGAAAAGAGCAAGTCATTGCCCGGAAGAGAAAGCCGGTTCCTTGCATCATGCGCTAATGAAATAAAAAATTACATAAATTTTTGTTCATGTATCATTATTTTATTTGCACAACGTAACTAAAATAGCGTACTCAAATTTTTATTCCGGTAATGACGAAACTTCTGGGCAAATAAGTGAGAGAGAAAGGCTAAAAGCTCCCAACTTTCCACCTTGAACCACTCCTTGCTAACTCCCAAATTCCCAATTCAATTCGGGTCAGTCAAAAGTCAAAACTTTTTCAGTGTGCCATGTGTGTGTGAGGATATTGGTGGCCGAGGAGACTATTAGTTGGAATAGGAACGTTGAATCTTTGAGAGAGAGGGGTAGAGAGAGGGATACGGATTCTTTCTTCTTCTATTTTTGGTCCGTTTAGTCTCTTTTTATTTTAAAATCCGTGATTAAGTCAAGTCAGTTGATTTTTTTTACAATCTCTTATTCAAATGTTCGTGCCGACGTCTGTTGAATTTTTTTGTTTTTTTGTAAAAAGAGAGATAATAAAATCCAACCCGAGAATCTGTGAGAGAGAGAGAGAGAGCCCCATTGGCTAGTGCTATATTTATCCACACCCACCAAGGGCAGAGAAAATGAAGAGGAAACCAACTTTTAAGTAATTTTCTTTTCTTCTGCTTTTTTGTTTTGGGAGAGACATATGAACCAACGGAGTTGGCGGTCCGTTTTTGCTTCTTTGCCCTGTAAACTGCAGCGTTTCTGCCTCCTGTCCTCCTATTATTTATTCAAGTTTCCCTCTTTTTCTTTTGATATCCTCCCATGGCTTAAAGATTGCTCCTTTCTTTCCCCATTCGATTCCAAATCGCTCGTTTCCCAAAACCCATTTCTTCAGTTCCCTAAAGGATTCATGGGTAGCGTAAGTTTGCAAGTTTTGAATAGGAAATAGGATTATACAGAGAGATAGAGAGGGGGAGCTGTGAGTCACGGACAGGTGAGGTGAGTGGGAAGTTTTGACGGTGTGGGCAGAATGTGGAGGTGGTGCAGTGGTGTGTTGGTGAGACATTTGGGGGTGGGGAAGCCCAACGGCGCCAACCCCTGTTTTGGATTCAAGGATTTTGCTAACCGGGAATGTGGGTTGTTGAATTTTCCTGCAACTTCGTCTCTGGCGCTGATTCCGAGGAGAAGAATGTCGTCTTCTTGTGATTTTAGCGGCGTTGGGGGTGGCGGAGTAGGAGGAGGAGGAGCAGATCTGAGCAGAGGAGTAGGAGAGACGATATCGTCTTCGGAGGCCAAGAGGATGATGAGGCTGGTGAATGTGGAGGCTTTGAAGGCAAAGCTCGGGACAGAAGGGAAGGAGGCAATACCGTATTCTGATCTTCTGGAGGCGTGCCAGAGCATTGGGGTTGCCAGATCTCCGGAGGAAGCTGCGGCTTTTGCTCGGGTTCTCGACGAGGCCGGCGTCATCATCCTCTTCCGGGACAAGGTTCTCCTCCATCCTAATAGGGTATGAAACCTCCTCCCCTCAACTTCTTATTGTTCTTCTAGCGTGTGTCAGAATGAAATTTTGACGATATTCTAAACTACTCTAATTTACGCGGAGGAGGGAGGTTTGAACTTGGGTGCAAAAGGGTTTGTTTTTGGGACATGTTTATCTCCAATTGTTATTCTAATTCCCTTAACTTTTTGCTGTTTGTTTTTCACTGCCTGCTTTAAATACTAATTCTAATCACGGGATTAATAAGTAGTGTGGATCGCATGTTTTCTTGGCTTCCAAATTGAAGGGAGAGGAAATTAAGTTTAGATTATCTTCCGAGATGGAAACTTTAGTAAGTTTCAAGTAATTATGTATCATCTGTAGGAGGAGATACACTGGATTTCGTGTTATTTACTTCCCTGTTAGGTCTTCATTACGCCATCAAACAGCTCAAATAAGTTAGCTACTACATGGAACCGAGCGCAATGGCGTTCTAGGTTTCATATAGCCGACCCCACTTAGTGGGAAAAGGCTTTGTTGTTGTTGTTGTTGTTGTTTGTGCTTCAGAATTTGGTTATATCCCATAAACCTGCCTTTTTTGACTGCTTGCTGCGTTTTACATGGCGGTGAAGGTTTCTAGTTCTTCCAAAATTACCGATCCAAGCACAGCATAGGATTTCGATATTCTGTTGGGGTTGAATCTAGTTGCTTTTAGCTTCTGTTGTTTGTTCGTGATTGCAAGTGTGATTGTTTGAGTTTTTATGTTAATACTTGGCAGTTGTGTGGACATCTCATCTTTCAAGTCTAATGCAAAGATTTGGAATTGATCAAATATAGGATCTGATATGTGATTGTTGCATTGGATATGAATTAAGAATCTGAGCTGGTTACGAGAGCTTTCTCGAACACAATATCTGTTTAGAAGCCTTACATTACCTTGACTCACACCGCTGCATTTCATTCTTAACTTCCAGGTTGTGGAGCTAGTTCGAAAAGCAGTACCCCTTTCTTTGACTCCGGAAGATGACCCCTTGTGGGAGGAGTTAAAACAGCTGCAGAAGAAGAAGGAAGAAATTGATGTGCTGGCGCATAAGCATGTCCGGCGCATTCTCTGGTTTGGCCTGGGGGTTGTCCTGACACAGCTCGGGCTCTTTTTCAGGCTAACATATTGGGACTTCTCATGGGACGTAGTGGAACCACTCGCGTACTTCACAACAACTTCTTGCATTGGCATAGGCTATGCCTACTTCTTGATCACGTCAAGAGATCCGACTTACCAAGATCTGATGAAGAGGCTCTTTATCAGGAGGCAGAGGAAACTGATCAAGAGTCATAATTTTGATGTCAAAAAGTTCAAGGAGATCCAGAGAAAATGCGGCATACCTCTACACGCTAGTGCCTCGATTAAGAACCGGGTAGGCCTGGAAATAGAGCTCGACGACTCTTTACATAGAGATTAACACTTACAATTTTATACTTTTGGCCGGGGTAGGGAAAAGGCCGGATGTTAACTCAGACTCTTCTATTTTGTTACAATCTGGCCCCTCCTGGTTTTATGTAGGCAGGGGCCAGAAATTTTAATTTTAACATGTAGCTTCTTACCTACCTTTCAAATTTTTTGGCACAAATACTTAATTTCAGCAGAGCTTCTGCTTTTAACTTATGCAAATTGCAATGGATACTGCTTTTGGCTCATCGCTTTCTATCATTATATTTCTAATTCACATCTTTTCCGAGAGTAACAGAGGGATCGCATTATGTACCACGTTTCTAACAGAGGTCCGACCGTTTGTGCCGGATGAGCTATGGAGGTGTGGTTTCATAATGTGAGCCAGAAGTGCCTTTTGTCTGGCCACCCTAGGCAGAAGGCATTTCAGTTTGGAAGTAGAACAAGAATCGCACATCATAGGCAACTGAAACCAATCCATTCAAAATTTACCTTACTGTCTCTCGATCAGGCGGGTTAGTTGTTGATCGGTCCTAAAATTTTAGGGATTCACAAACGCTGTACGAACAGTTTACTCTTTTCCGACAGCCGGTAGTAAACTTCAGATCAACCATGTTTAACATACTAAGTCTATTCAGCAACTAGACAGCCTGTTCTTTTACAGTTAGATAATCATATACAAGTTGGTCTTTTTATATATTAGAAAGTCAACTTCAAGGGAGCTAAGTATATCGATCACAGATTGTTCTTCAGATCCGCTGAAGTGCTCCAAAATCTGAGAGAGAGAGACCTGCAAACATCCAAGTTTTTAAACTTGTTAGTTTTACCTTCGCTTGAAAAGTGAGGATAATAACGCTTACCATTTCACTCCATTATACTTACCCCGTTTTGGTTCTTAAGCCAATCGTATATGGAACTCTCCGTTGCCTTCAATGCAAGGGAACTTTCATCATCTGGACTACCAAGTTTTTGGCGTTTTGTTGGGAGTAAATCTTCTAAATGTGCTTTGGGTTGGTTTACTCCTTGTCCCCTGGTCAAGGGAAGAGAAGTGGTCTCTTCAACTTTACCCGAGCTTGCAACTGAATCTTGGGCCAATGCCTTATCTTCAAGAGGTTCTTCCGTGGGGGATTTACGAGCAGAACATGGTGACGATTCTGTTTCCTTGCTTGGAAGTTGACCAGCTTCTTGTGCATCATGGGGGCTAGATGGAGTCCCTTTCAGAGACACTCCAAGCTTTTGCATTGCCAGGCAAGTCTTGATGTGTGCATAACTTATCTGGCATTGTAAAACATTCAAACAGATAAAAGAAAATGCACGTAAATGGCCCATCTATATGAGTATGAAGCACATATAAAACATAAATTTGCGTACATATACACAATTAGACAGTCACATTAATAGCATAACTGAAAATGAACTCCAAAATCAAGGCAAAGGTTTTGAGGCTCACATCTTCTGGCAATTCGTCTTTGATAGGCTTTAACCTTTCCGTAGGGCCAACCTTTGAAATGGCACACTGTATATCGGAAAGAACTTTATGCGTTAGTCCAACCTCGTTGCATAGCCTGATCCAATCAATTTCGCATCCTTCTTGAGCAGCTTCTACCAGATAATCAAGAACAGTCTGCTCTTTAATAGGAGCAGATCTACCAGGGAAGTTCTGTGATTAAAAAGATTTAAGGTATGTAAGAATTGGAAGTATAAGGAAAAGATAATAATCCATAGTAAATACTGAATATTGGAAAACATACAGCAATTTTCTGAATCGACAAACCCTCAACATGCCACAATTTCCAGGCTTCAAACTTTGCTGGCGTTAACTTTCTTGGTTGGTTGGGTACTGGATAGACGTTTCTCGTAATAGCAGTAGTTTGTACGGTTGCCTCTCCATCCAATGAAAGATTTAGTCCTTGTGATAGATCCCGAATGATCCGAAGAAAATTGTTTCCATGAGTCACTACAAGGTGCTGCATGTATAAAGATGACATTTAGCCTTCTTATTTAGAAAAGTTAAAAGAGCAGGAAAACTTATATGAAACAACGAAAAATATCATTTACTTTGCTAGGATAATTCATTGAAGCTTCAGTAGGATAATTCATTGAAGCTTCAGTTAGATAAAAAAAAATCGCTGAATGTGCTATTTGTGACTTGGTGGAATTAGAACCCCGGCCAACTGTTTGTTCAGTGCAGGAAGCAGATCCGGGACATTGTTAAGTACGAGATAAAGGTAGTATAGATTATATGCTATCTTGGATAAATTTTTTTTTTTTTTTCTAGATTTGAATTTTGATCTCCCTTGAGGCATTTGACAAGCATTCAGCCATTATAAAATCAACTTTTACGAAAAGTGCTTCTATTGTTGTGAATTATGGCGTGTGGAAAGGCATTGTCATGTTCAATCCTGCAACGAATTTTTTACCAGTTACTCGTGCCTATGTCCAGTAAATATTCTGGATAGCACTGGAAGCCATCAGAAAAGTGTGCTTGAGAATAGTGAACCAAGTATTGATCTGTACATATTCAAGTCCTTTGCCAGCCAAAGGACACGATTAGTACAAACAGATTACATTCAGTCGGAAAAACACAAAACATGTATCTGCATCAAAACTTGTTTAACACAAATGCAATGTATCAAATCCTTGTCGTTAAGAACTAAAGATTTTGAGAGGAAATTTTTTTATTAGTTAAACTACGAGGGTTTAGTTGGTTTGCCAATTATGATTTAGATCCTGGTTAACTATCACACTGGAGAATGGAGATATACATACAGAAAACTTTGCTATTGCTCTCTGCAAGACATACCTGGTTGACACCATCGATGTTTGCTAGCCTTGCTTTGGTAGATGGTCTTGCTAAAGCAATTTTTTTAATCGTTTGATCACCACAAATAGCATATCTGCAAAGAGTAAAATTTGGATGAACTCAATGTTTTCGGTAAAAAAAAAAGAGAAAATATTTGGAATTTGTGGTCTTGACTATATAATTAAAAAGAGATCTACGGAGCGGTTCCAAGGCTTCTTGCGAGCTTCCTTCTCTCTTCTAAAAGCATGTGGTAGAGTTGTTTCTCTGCCTGAGAGAAAACGAAAATGCGTAAAAAAGGTACCATTGTAAATGTGTATAACATACGGATAAAATATTGAGTAACTGAGGTGAATAAACACAATAACAATTAAGTTGCCAACCTCTGAGAATCCTTCACATTCCAGAGTAGCCAAACTCTTAATTTCTCCAACTTCGCCTGATGCATGTTTATTGTCCTCATCATTGACCATTTCACTGGTCAACGGCAAGAATAGGGGTGGTTGATGATCCGGTCCAGCAGAACTAAGAAATTGGTAAGCTTTTGGACTAAGACTGATGCATGAAAAAAGAAAATTCAAATTCAATCATTTTCTTTTCGAGTTTTGCAATTGAAATTCAAGAAAAAGAAGAAGACCTATTATTAATGACAGAGAAGGGTCATTTCTGGTGGCATTTAGTATCATATAAAAACTAAATAGACGTCGAAAAAGAGATTCATTATTAAGTTTTACCTTCTGCAAAAGTAGAATAAATGAAAAGAGTATACCTTACAGTTCGGTATATGTCCTTTACTGTCTCCCTCAAATAACCTGTATTAAAAAGAGCATTTTAACTCATGCACAGACCAATTATCAGTTAATAACTCAAATGCAAGTATATCAGCTTATGTGAACAAAGATACAAGTATAACATGTAAGCGTTGGTGAATGTCTTAAGCATTCATATGCCTCCGGTATTAAAATGTCAAAAGTAATACTCAGAGCAAGGAGACCAGGATAGAAAGTGTCCCTTATATACCAGAAGAGATTAATTGGTAACCAAGGGCTTTCCACCAATTTGAAGAATAGTCTTTCCCAAGCCCATGCAGTGGAAGCTTGTCATATTGGGCATCAATAATTTTTTTAGCCTGTATGCCACATGGAAAGATCACCATGAGTAACCCAACGATGTAAAAGTTGAAAGGAAAAAAAAAAAAAAAAAAGCTGAAAAATGACACTTTAAAGAACTTTAGGACCAGGAGCTTTCAGAAAGAACAGCGTTTAACAGAAGCTAACTGTATAAAACAATTAGCTTCTAGGAATTCTTAATAATTTTTTCGTTACAACTTTCAGCTTGTATCACTCACATGTTGTTTATAACCTTATATCATTAAGTTAATTTGAATTTTATTCCTTCAATGTTAGCAAGAACATAATTGTCTTTTGAAAACCGCAAACAGAGATATCACTAAAGCTAAAACACAAGGCTAAAGATTCACATTTTTTCCCTTGAACATCACCTAATGTAGAAGAGAGAAGAATGAATCCACGGAAAACCAACTTTTATTCATACACTTCAACTCTTTGGACCTCCAGATCATCAAATGCTAAACATTCTCGTAGTAATTACTTGTGCACCTTTTTATCGATGATAAACATGGTATACTGTGTTTCAAAATCAAAATGCATTAAAACTCACTCGAGAGCCACGAAGAATGTCTACAGGCATACTGAGACCCCATTTACCCCTACATGATTGAATGCAAGCCATTAGAAGAAATGCTTCTTTAGACATGTCTCGCTCCCTCTTTGTGGAAGTGCAGTTATCACAATTACCTACAAACACAATTTTAAGCCACCGCATAATAATTGGTTCAGTTTAAGTTGAAAGATTATCTACCATGGAATACTGATGCAGGTGAATTGATGCTAAAGCGATAAAACAATTATGTTTCATTTTAATATTATAATCTAAAAACATTTTATGAAACAACTCCAACTGTCATAAAAACTTTCAATCTATCTAATCTAAGTAGTCCCTTGAATATTAACATGAAATTATATCATCTCTGTCAAGTTCAGTTCCAATATTTTATTGAAACAAAAAGCACTGAATTTAAATCCTAGCATCAAAAGCTAGCAGTGAGTAAATAAGGCAGATGATTGAATTATAGTACATGGATGCAGTTTGAAAATTCAACACTAAAATTAGGGGGGTCTGAACTCAGGAATTCCAATAAAGAAAGAAGATCCATACCGCATTTATCAGTTGGAAACTTTTCCCCAAAATGACCAAGCAAAGCCTTCCTTCTGCAAGTTGTCAGTAAGCAGTACCGTTGTGCTGCCATCAACGACTCTACAACAGCTTTACGTTGACTTTCCTGGTGATTAGAAGCCCACAATAACTCATGAGGCAGAAAAATATTTAGCCACATCCTAGAACAGAAACAAAATAAGCACTTACAGA